GAGGTGCACAGGGCAGTAGCAAGAGTGCATCATGGGTCAAATAATGACCCTCAGCACCAATGATGTATGCACCCAAATTCCAGGAGTTCATAAATATATTGCTTTACATGACAAAAGGGACTTTCAAGATAGAATTAAGGTTAAAGACCTTAAAATAAGATTATTATCTTATATTATCCTGATTGCTCCATGTGGGCCCTGAAACACAAAGATCTTTCAATGGCTAGAGGCAGAGGAAGTCAAAAGAAGGATAACTCAGTGAGATTACAAACGTGAGGGAGATACCTTAGTGGTTCTGAGATGTATGGGCCCACATACTAGGACCAGAGAGATACATCTAGGGGCTAAGGATGGGCCCTAGCTGATAGTCAGCAAGAAGACTGGAACCTCCCACCTGGGAAGCTGGTGAATATTCTATTGAGATCCTCCCCTGAGACATCCAGATACAAGCCCCCAGGACAGAGGACCCAATGTCACTCTCTCTATGGAGCACACCCGTGCCTTTCCCACTCTCTTCCCTCAAGACTCTTTCTCCATAGCTCCCAGGGCCCTTCTTTCCATTCTGTCACTTGTTTCCTGAGCCCATTTCCTCTCAGGCTCTCTTCTTCTACCTCTCTGACTCTTCTAACTAAACTTTCTCTTAGAGTTTGAGTCTTGTTCTGAATTCTTTCTTAGCTAGAACTCAAGCACTGAAGTTGCTGAGCAGAAATCTAGCACCTGATCCTGTGTCAACGCCAACAGTAAGTAGACAAAATTAATAAAAACATGTGCATATATTTAGCATAATATTTAAATTATATGATTAGTTTTCTTGTTTTTTTGTGTGTTTTTTCCCAGGTTAGGTTGGGGCGAAATGTTACAAATAAATTAAAATCTGTTTGGTATCAGACTTATCCTTAACAACATTAAATACCCAAAGGCACTGAGGCAGTTTCAACTTTAAATATTGGAGAAGGAAAAGCCTCAGAAATGTATACTCAATTGAGTTGACATTCATATTTGAAGGTCTTGGAAAAATATTTGTAATATGTACAAAAGCTCAGCAAATATACCACAGATAAATACTTTTCATACATATACTTGATGAAATATACCTATAAGATAATGCCTCGATCAAAATACAAAAAAAAAAAAAAAGAAAAGAAAAAAATTATACAGGAACGATGAGTTTCAAAAAGAGAAATAGGTTGAAAATATTCCAAATAATTGATGAAGGGAAGTAAAAAAGTATATAAATAATTATGCCATTAAAATATTGCCAAACTAGAACCACAAAATATATCATCAAAGACAATGAGGTTGACTTAGATTAGGGGAATCTAAAAATGTTAAATTCCTCATCTTAGTGGGAAAAAGACATTTTTAAATTCTGGATGTCATTATTAGAGTATTTTTGAAAATTGAAAGTTTTTACCAATGGAACACATAATGAAATAACTTTTAAATTAAAAGCGGAAAATAAAACCAAGGAATATTGACTATATATACAAAAAATAAGAAACTGAGCAAAAACAATAAAGGCCCCTAAAAGACAAATCAAATATTTTAATATTATAATTTACATTTTAAAAGCAGAATCAAAACATTAAATTTAAGCAT